CATTTTTGCATGTTAACATTTTTTACAAGGCCCGTGAAGAAAAAGAGTGACAGATTAATGTGGTGGAAAAATGTCATTAATGTGATTGCTATAAGCATAATACTTTGTTGGACTTCTTATCCAGCAGGAAAAGATAAAATAGTGGAGGTGTTACCATTTGCTCCTACCCCACCCCCACCACAGTTGTCAGAAGCTGAGCTACTGAAGGCTCGTCAAGATGAGGAGAATACCATGAGGGAACTGCGCATCTTCCTCAGAGATGTTACCTCAAAGCTTTTACAAGATCGAAGGTTCAAAGAGTTTACCAAACCAGTGGATTTGATGGAGGTAAGAGAATCATTGTAGATTCTTCAAATTGAATCCCTGGTCTTGTGGAAGAGGTGGTCTACTTACTGAGCCAGTGTTGTATGATAGAAAATATAGCAACTGGCAAACAGTGATGGTTCTTAACTCTTTCACTCACAAGATCTCTCTCCTTTGTGTCTTCAGTACAATTCTTATCATGTTAGTTTGGCAAATTTGGTATTGGATCAATTAGGTAGTAGTTCCATAATTGATACAATGTATGTTTCTTTATTCTTTTCATTTGCCTGCTGGATAATTTATGGATATTGTAAACAAAAAATTGTCTTGGTCACTCATAGGAGTTATAGGATTAAGAGGCTTTCTGTAGCCATGTGCTCATAATGTGGGCCAGAAGTCAGTGTTAAACAGTTGGAGGGCTTTGGCAAAATATCCCCTTTATTTCCTCTAGTTATTAATAGTCCACTCTCCTCACAAATATTCATTGACATGGATCAGCTGTGTTGTTAAAAAAAAAAATTCCTTTTTCATTTTAATGTAGCTTTGATCTCTTTTCAGGTTCCTGATTATCTTGAGGTGATTGATGAACCAATGGATCTTGCAACAATACTACAGAAAATCAACTGTCATCAGTATAGTACTTGTGCACAGTACTTGGCAGATATTGATTTGATCACAAGTAATGCTCTTAAGTACAACCCTGACCGTGATCCAATGGACAAGCTTATCAGACATAGGGCTTGTGAACTCAGTGATGTGGCACACTCAGAAATCAAATCGCAACTGGAGCCAGAGTTTGAGAAGGTGATGAAGTTGTAAAAAAATAACTTAAAGTGGCTATAGGAGGTTTACTTTAACACATTGTCTTAAATTAATTATTGCTGCTGATGGAAAGTGCTAATTTTTCTATTCATTTGTTTTTTTCAGACTTGTGAAGAAATCATAGCAGCAAGGGAAAGAAGGGGTAAGAACTGAGTTGAGATCATATTAATTGGTTTTTTTTTATATAGTAGTTAGTAACACTAATGTTTTGTCTATTAGTTATAAGTAGTTGTAAGCTTGACATGATAGCAATGGTTATCTCTAGCATATAATTACTAGCCTGTGGCTTGTGTTTGCTGAAAAGTGATCACCTATTTTGTCAAGATTTTAGCTGAGATTTGCATCCTGTACTATGCACTCACAATGTCTCTATACACACAATTGCTCTTGAATGTACTTCTTATTTCAGAGATAAAGATAAGTTTCATACCAGATAGAGCTTATTTAAGTTTGCTGACAATTACCTTTTCTTGAAGAACTGCTCTCCTTGGTTAAGTACAGCCATGCAATGATAAGGAATATATCAGTATTATCCAGGGTGCTTAATTGTGCACATATACTTTTTTCTTCAAAAAAGGAAGGGATTTATTTAAGTTGCAAGGAGTTTGGTGTAAAGAAAATTTTTGTCTCTGATGAGAGTTTGTTACTGACACTTTATAGTCACAGTACGTTGTAGGAAGATCATTGGCAAGGAAGAGCGAGACAGGCAATGTGTCAGGAGAAAAGCCTCTGATGGTTGTATTTATTTTTCCCCAGGTGACAAATCAACTGCTGCTGCTCCTGCATTTGTGTTCACTGTTCCACTGAAACAACAAACAGCAACTGAGGTGACAGCGTCAACACCACTTCAAGATCAAGTAGAGAAAGCAGCATTGGGTGTCTCTGATATAACCTTTGTATCTGAATCCCAGTCACAAAGTAATGGCACAAGGCAGAAGAAAAAGCCAAGAAGAAAGAAAGCACCAATCTATTGGGGAAAAAAGCCAAGTAGAAGGAAACTAGATGTAAAGCAAAAATTAGACTCAGAGATTGATCAGGTTACTCAGGAGTTTCTGGTTGAAGTGAATGGGGAACAAGCAGAGGTCAGTGGTGAAGCTTTTCCTGATGACTCTGGAGATAGATCAACCAATGAGGAAACTGAAAAAGATCCTGGGGTGATCTCTGATAAAGAAGGTGATGTAGCAAACCATCAAGAAGATGATGATGAGGAGGAGGAGGAAGAGGAAGATGATGTTGAATTGATGGAGAATGGGGTTGCACCCATTGATGGAGATGTGGTTTTGTTACATCCAGAGAATCTCACCGCAGAAATTAAAAGTGGTAAGGTGAACTCAGAGTCTGTTCTTCAAAACAATTTGGTAGTGCCCACAAGACCTATTGGAAATCATGATTTATCAGGAACATTGTCCAGTCTGCAAAATGGGGTCACCTCAGATGTTTGCTCAGAAGATATTGCATCGGAAAGTGAATGTGACAAGGAGCCTGAAGGTGAGAATGCCTTAACCCTTTCACTCCCAAGATCTCAAAAGAAATTCTCACCACTGTCTGCCATGCAATTCTTTTGATGTCACTTTGGAGAATTTGGTGTTGGATCAACACATATTCCCCCAATGGAAATTTTGGTCTATTTCATTACTTGTCTCCTGATGTTGTATCAATATTGCGAGAAATCTCTGTTGGTCACTCATGGGAGTTCAAGGGTTAAGGCTATGTATGACTAGAATAGTGTGTACATCAAAGGGAAAAAATGCAGTTATATATTAAGTCAGGTACTACCCCTGTAAAGCAAAATCTTGCAAACAACGATTCTGACAGGGTTATGAGAGAATATGCACTAAAGCCCAATATGGGAGCTATCTTGGTTTCACAAACAAGTGGAATTATCTGCAGACTGCTTTGATGGGATGCAAGTGCACCATAATTTTGCCCCTCCCCTCTGTTGACATCAGATTTATACCTCTGGTTAAAGAGAGGCATTGTGATTGAAAGGTTTCTTGTCCAAGAACATCAGATCTTGTCTCTCTTACCTGTGCATTACACTTAAATGTTCAAGTAGTGGATGTGATTTGTGTAGCATTAGTGGAGGTTAAGGTTAGTCTGGTTTTCCCAACCACAAGATACCTAACTTAAGCCATATTGGCCCCATTGTGGAGTACATTTGTACCATTTGGTATGAAACGTGGAAAACTCTGGTACTTTAGAGCTTTCAGGCCCCTTAGGATTCCCAAATAGTTTGAATTTTAAGTGTTTTTCCTTTTTTGATTATATGTGAAGACTCTTCCAATAATCCTCAAGAAAACAAACAGAACAAATCTGCAGGCTGCACTTCCTGGGGTAGTACTGCACTCAATGAAGACGTCATAGAGAAACTAGAAACTCTCCTGAATTTGCTAGTTGATGCAACTAAGGGGGCATCTATCGAAATGCTAGAGAGATATCACAGTTCTCTTCAGTGCTGTATCCACAAGCAGAGACACAATCATGATAAAGGAGAGCTTCTGAAGGTGTGTAAACTTGAATTTAAGGGGTTGAAATGATTTCAGCTGGTTTACTGTAAAGAAACTGCTGACTGACATCAAATGGTAAATTTGGATTTTCAGTTGTTGTAGGGTTTTGTGGGAAGAAGTGGCAATGCTATCCAACATGGCAGTGTCCCTTTTTTTTTTTTTTGATGATTTGAAAAGGGAAAGACTCCTTACTCAAAAGTATTAAGTCATGCAACTTCCAAGCTTTTAACACTGTTCAACCAAAGCATTGGTAGCTGGAAAGTGGTCAAGCTTTGAGGATTCAATGGCTACTCTAGTCATCAAGGAGAAATATTTTGGCAAAAAAAATTTGGGGGGTTAGTGGCACTTTAATCATAATTTTTGGTGTTCTTTGATAAGAATAGTATCCAAAAACACATTTTACCGTGCCATCCACTTCCATCACACCTAAGTCCCCAGAACTTTGATCAAGGAATGGTAATCTGACATTTCCCCAAAATGCCCAAGGCTTCATGATAGGAACTTTCTCAACACTCCTCTTTGCAAACCAGACAGTGGGTGTTCTTTTTTTTTTATGATTTATCTAATTAATTCCTGTGAAGCCTACCCAAAGGAGTTCCAAGGGTAGACTTTGCCCAAGAGTGAGTAGGCTGCCATTGACTGTTATTCTTTAAATTTGTTTTCAGGATTTGGAACTGATGATTAAAGGCTATGGACGATCTTCAAGAACTGTTTGCTCATTTCAAAAGTGATCCTCAACGGTTAACTTGTAACATAGTCTCATTACTTTCAAAAGTAGAACCCCACTAACTTAAACTGTTCAGAAAAAGGAATACAGTGTAAGACCAAAGTGTTCAAGTTAGTAAATTGTAAGCAACTAAAAACCCTCCTCCAGAAATGTGGCTCTAAGATTACTTTAACAGACAGTTCCAGTTAGTGAGGTTCTACTCTAGTTAATATTTGGATCATTAATTTATTAACAATTAATTTATTTTGAATTGCTCTTTTCTGTGAAAATAATAATAACTTTTGAGATTAACTTTAGTGTCTGTATAGATGGACAATTTTTTGCAAAGCATTATTACATCTATTTCTGCTTACGCCTGACAACCTAGAACATAGATTGTTGGCTAAAGTTAAAGGCTAAGTTTTCTACATCTTGTTTTTTTTTTTCTCAGAAATAGCTTTTTATTGCAGTCATATGTTAACCGTTAAAACAAACTATCAATTAATTCGCTGATCACCATTTTCTGAGGAGGAGTGGAGAGGGAGGGGAAGTTCAAATTAGGGTAATATATATTTTTGAAAACAAAGAACTTATTTTAAATGGTACAAAAGTGTAACATTCTTGTATTACCATTCACTGCATTCGCAAATAGTTGCACTGAGTTAAAATGAGGTCATGTCATCCTTTAATAAATAAACTATCAATGATGGAAAAGCTTAAAAAATAATAAATGAAGATTTCCCAGGACAGAGATTCTGTATTTTCCATTACTTATGGTCATTTGTTCATTGTTTTCTTCACTGATCACTAAAGTTAACCCTGCTTTTTGTACTTTTTTCAGATCAAGACCACCAATAGTTAAATATCCCTTCCTAACCTTTAAAAATGAAACAAATTTATCTACATTCCCAAATATGCTTTGGCAGCACTCATGGTTATGAATACTAAGGTTGTATATACAACATATGGATTAAAATTTATGTTTCATTTATTATGTTACATTACATAAGCATGTGTATCTGACCAGGACCACAAGAAAGTTAAGAATCTATGAGGGCAGTTTCAAAGTCATGTATTTGACCCAATTACTTTGGCTTGGCCTCTCAAGTGAATGTAGAAGTCTTAGGGTATAAAATTTTGAAAAAATCTGTTGAATTAGAGGAACAATGAGACTGGCTTTTCTTAAATGTTTCAGGAGGAAGGAGGCAAGAATTACTTGCAAACAAGCATGGAAAATTGTACACTTAATTCAAACCTAGGAGGTAGCTCATTTATACACAATATATCCAGAAGATATTCATCACTCAAATTAAAAGGAGGGAAGGGGACTCAAATATATTTGAATTTCCAGGATGGAGAGACCAAAAAACTAGTTCTAGGATGATATTGTTTGAAGAATTCAAGAATATTTAAAAAAAGGTGTCATGATTCCTGCTTCTCTGTTAATGGTATGGGCTGTCCCTCTAAGGAAATATTGTTTGAAGAATTCAAGAATGTCCAAAAAATATGTCATGATTCCTTCTTCTCCGTGAATGGTGTGGGCTGTCCTTCCCCAATAAATTTAGTATGACTAGCTTTTGCTACAAGTTTGCCATCTTTGTTTAACAGTTCCGCACCAGTGAAGACCAATGTACGACCCATCTTGATAACTTCTGCATTTATAGTAACGTCTTCTCCAACTGGAACTGGCCTTAAGTAGCTGCCATGAAGAAAAAAGTTTCCATAGTGAAATATTACAACATGTGCAAAAGGGGTCAAAATATAAATTAAGATGATATAGTACCTTATGCTCATATCAACACTGACACCAAGTTTGTGTGGGGGCGATGTAAATGTCACCACTGTAGTTAACATGTCAACCAAAGTCGCTGTCATTCCACCATGGAGGTTGCCCATTGGATTCTGGTGACTTTCTTCAACTTTCATTTTGAAAGAAGCTTTACCTTCTGACATTGACAAGAGCTCAATCTATCGAAGAGATAACTACAGCTTACTAACGTAATGTGTAGATTGTTAAAGTGCTTGCATCAAGGTAAAGAAAGTAAAGAGACTGAGGAAATGAGTCAAACTGTCTCACCCTTAGTTGCAAACAGACAAACAAACACGCACACCCACACATATACAAACCTGTTTGAAAAATCCCAAAATTTTGCAAAAGTAATTAGACAGTAAGATACATTGAAGGTTAATAGAGCATAGAACCTGCGAAGAATATTGCCCACGGCTTTGTTTTCGAATAGTATGGGGTAATACGGAAATTCTGTCCAAATTTTAAAACGATAAATCATCTTATACCTTGTCTCCAACCTTGTCGAAGCCTCTAGATGACTTATAACTCGTCAAAATTTGACGAATTACACTTCGGGCCGCATTCGTTGCCGACATCTTGAAATCTGTTGGAGTAGTACGATATGTAAGCGTAAACAAGTTGTCCCCCAGAAGCTCTTGCGATCAATACCTCTATCCCAGTCCACATTACACGATCTCGGCCTTCTTCGTGTAACTCTTGAATTGAAAGGTTCGGTGATTTGAACAAAGAGCAGTATTGAAGCTTTAAGATCCATCTATCAGCCTTGGAAGAAGTAAGCTGCAATCTCCGTTATTTCTATATGTATGTTAAGTGTCACAGAAGCGGAATTATTGGGCGAATTTGGCGTAAATAGGATTGATCTTACGTACACGCGTGTAGTACATGGAAGGCTGCATTAGATAAGAGTTATTTATCTTTATATAGGTTCTTTTTGACCAACGAAGTAAACAGTATTTATCTGCGTAATAGTGAAATGAGTTATACCTCTATGAATATTCGTTACAGTATAAAACGATCTTTGAATTATGTGTATGTTAGACGATTCAAGTTTCTGTTCCTCGCAAATCGATTGCCACTTACTCTATTTAGACGCATTTTTAGTCTTTAGGCATTATTAAAACTCTTTTAGAGCTGCAGATACTGCATACCCAAAACATCAAAGGGATGTTTATGTCATGGCAAAAAAAAATTGGTATTTACCCTGATGATGTTTCAACTGGCCACAACATCATAAAGCGTGCTTAGATACGACCAGTGGGCTTCACTTTCTTTGTATTATAAATTAGACATCTTCAAGCTTTTTTACAAAGGCAATAATGCTACTTTCCCCAACTAACTGTCTGAAAACATCCTTAAATGTCGCTCAAATGGTTACTCTCTGAGGGGATGTGACCTTTTAACATTACCCAGGTTCCAGTTTTGCTTCTACTGCTCACCTTATACAGTCATACCAATTTTGTTTTTACTAAGAAGTGATAATATACATCATTTTCTATTTTCAAATTCAAGTCTTGTTTACATAACTTGTAATTTTCCTTTTTTTGTTCATGCGACTGCACAAGCTTACAAGTAGCTTGAAATATGATTGTATAGAAGTGAAGGTCATCATCATCATCATCATCATCACTTCATATTGAGAATACACTGTATTTATATGGTTGAGCCCCCTTTCAAGTGTTGACTGCCATTTTGGACTTTTAAAATGTTATTAATGCATTGTATTTCCTTGTTTACAGTCATGATCACAGACGTCCAGCTAGCAGCGTTTGCGAACATCCTAGGTGTCTCCCTATTTCTTCTTGTTGTCCTTTATCACTTTGTTGCAGTCAACAATCCCAAGAGGAAGGAAGAATGAGCAACTTGCTTGAAAGTAACGTAAGTTAGGACATCTTTTGATAAAAGCTATCATCAGTTCTGGCCACGGCAACACAGATGAAGCAATCAATTCGAAACTGTACCTAGTTTCACAATTGCCTGCTGAGGTTCAATATCTCAGTAGGACTTATTTAATGTTTGTCAGTCAGAACAAATTAAATGTTTATAATACAAGTTCCTTATATAATCTATGGGAATCTTTTCCATCCTTAAACATGCTTGTTTTCTCTTTTATTATCCTTTTGAGTTTGATGTTTTTAACCCAAGTAAACTTTCATGTTCAAGGTTTTCTACTTTGTTTTGATTATTTTCATATGTATCAAAAGCGACTCAAACTGTTGTCATCTAGCTCATTAAGTTTGTCTTCAAGCCTACGTTCCCAAGTGGCTTTGATTTTCAATTGGAACAGTTGCAAATTAATTTCAGATTCATTTTGTAGATTCTGCCTCTTATATGCACACTTAATAATAAAAAGCAGTATTTATTAACATTTATAGAGGAGGCAAGGAAGCCAGAGAAAGCCAGTAAGGGTTATGTAATGGACTGTGTTACATATCTAGTGTAACAGAGTATATTGAGAATGATTAAGGAGTATACAAAGTTTTAAATATATCTAAATTCTTGTTCTTGTCATCACTGATATCTTGCTGTGAGAATTTGTGGGGTATAATTTGCTACTGAACCTTAAATATTTCCTATGTCCTCTAATATATGTTTATTACACCTGAAAGGAATGGTAACATATGGAGATAAACTAAATCATTGTTTTTTTTTTCCACAGGTAAAGAAAAAATTAAAAGTTCATATTCTTCAGTGATTCAAGAAAATGAAAGGAAATGCCTAGAGATGAAAAACAATTAGAATTTAAAGGATTTTGCTGTTATTGTGGATTCTAACTTACAAATACGTCTTCTATGTAATGCTGTAGTAAGCCCAATAAAAACCTATGTTTGAGAATTGATGAATCTTCAGAGTTTATGAAATAATGTACGTTGGTACAAGGGAGGGAGAATTGAAAATTCAAGGTAAGGTTCAGTAGAATGCCAACTTGCAGTTAAAAGTTTCTTTCTCCTAGCAGAAAATTCTTTCTCAGTTGAGGGAAAAACTATTACCATACACCAGCCAATATTAATTGCAGCAATTCCCAACAATTGCAAAAATTTCTAGCCATCCTTTCCTCCTGAATCATCAGAATTTGTGATATTGGAAGAGTACCATGGTGTTCTCTATTTCAAGAATGAGGCAGCGAAAATTCTCTGGGGTTTTGGACAGTTCTATCTTGTCTTTTCCAAAATGGTTATATTTCTGGTAAGTACTAAAACAAGGAACGACCTAAAACCACCTAAAACCACCTACAACCACCTACAGCCATCTACAACCACCTCAAAAATTTCAACAACCACCCACAACCACCTCAAAAACATCTACAACCACTCGCAAACTATCTAAAACCATCTAAAACAAGGCATAAATGTCTAAAATAAGGCGAAACGACAACATGTCACGTACACGAAATACGAGAATCGAACGAAACCTCTACCTCCCCCTGAAATCTTATTCTCCCTGGTCCCATGTATAATCAACCATCTCACGAAATGAAATGCGATAGCATGCTAATTATTTTATATTCCCTCAGCAAAAGACTTAAAGAACTTTACAAAATGAACTAACAAGTTACAAAAAATAATAAATAGGGAATAATACATGGGCGCGCGTAGATATGGAATTAATCTTCGAGTGTTTAACTCGATAGCTCACGAGTGAGCGCAGTGAACGAGTGAGATGTCGAGCAACATGCTACAAAAAATAATACATTGGGAATCATACATAGGCACGCGTATATATGGAAGTTTTTGTAACCATGATTCAAAGCATTTTCCATCTTAAGAGTCAGCGCCAACGTACTCTACGATTGTTATTCGAGGATTGTCGATTCATTTATTTGCATTCATTAATGAGGTCGGGTTTTCTTCCCAGAAAAGGGCTATTGTATTTATATGATAAACAAAATAATACATGGTTGCTTGTAGATATGGAATTTCCCTTCTCGTGTTCAACGTTATTATTTTTTGTAACTTGTTAGTTCATTTTGTAAAGTTCTTTAAGTCTTTTGCTGAGGGAATATAAAATAATTAGCATGCTATCGCATTTCATTTCGTGAGATGGTTGATTATACATGGGACCAGGGAGAGTAAGATTTCAGGGGGAGGTAGAGGTTTCGTTCGATTCTCGTTTTTCGTGTACGTGACATGTTGTCGTTTCGCCTTATTTTAGACATTTATGCCTTGTTTTAGATGGTTTTAGATAGTTTGCGAGTGGTTGTAGATGTTTTTGAGGTGGTTGTAGGTGGTTGTTGAAATTTTTGAGGTGGTTGTAGATGGTTGTAGGTGGTTGTAGGTGGTTTTAGGTGGTTTTAGGAGGTTTTAGGTCGTTCCTTGTTTTAGTACTTACGTATATTTCTTCCTCCTAACCCTGCTAAGGAAAATTTGTTTAAACGTCAAGAGTTTATTTTGTTGGTGATCATGTCTTTTATTCTTGTGTACTTGACATGTGATTCAGGGGTGATAATGTAAGGAAAACTATTTGTTGGAGGAGGAGTTTGGGAACGAGAATGACCATGTGCAAGGAAATCCTGACATGCGCATAGTTGATGGCGCATTTCATGAAAATTTGAAAAAAACGTATAATTTCCCTGGTGCGATTAGGAAAGCTATTTCCCAGAATATCCGGGCATAAGACACTTCTTCTGAAAGTTTAAGATCGAAGTTTGGTGCTTCTGGTGCTGCTTGAAGATGACAGATGCGAACGCTTTGCTGGCTCTCAATTTGAAAAACACTTTATCGTTTGAAACGAACGTTCGGAAACAAGGTAAGGATGGCTTCGGTTAAACTTGGTAGATTTACGAAAGATATAATTCTGCACACATCAAAGCCGTTTCCTGTCGCAAAATACTTGAGACAGGAACTTTCTCACATATAGAATGAATCTATAAGAATGCTTTTGTTTTATAGTACAATGATATATATCGTGAGCAGCACAAATCCAGCGAGTACAAGTTGAAGGACTGTATTACCTTAAACTGAAGTTTCATGGCTAGAATGTTCTTCTTACGTCGGGCCGACTTTCTTTTTCGGAAGGAAATGTAAATTTAGCTAAATTATACTTTAACAAGCTGTTTTGTCCTTTTAATGTGCTGCGATGTGATGGTCCAAGTTCTAATCGATTTTTATCAAGAATTTGACGTATTTTTTTATTCCTTAGAGTGGTCGTAAATATTCCCATACAAACTCTTATAATTCTGCCATGATTGTTATTGCACAAGATGATCATCTCACAGCTGGAGCTTGGGCCGCCTGTGCTCTCACTAGAACAGTTACAATAATATTCAGCTAAGACTGACTAAGGAGAGACTTCCTTGACCAAAATATTTTGAAAAATTAACTTCTTTAAACTCTCTTTTAACATGATTTGTTAGTCAGGGCTGTAATTAAGTTTTGAAGTAGCAGTTACCTTGGAGGTATCACCCACAGCAGTGTAATATGTAGTCTGCTAAGTGAAACAAGACAGCAATTCACTATCATGTACTTCCAAAGATCTGTGCTGTGATTGGTGTTAGGGATTGCAGCTCAACAACAGCCTTTCCAGTAATGCTGCTTTAGTTTATCATATTTTTGTTGGAGTTATTTTACCTTTCACACATTTCTTTAGATTACATGCTTTCTTTCGACTATTTTAGCTGAGAAGTATCTTGAGACAGTGGAAGGAAGCAGTGGTTACAATGTTCTACTATTGGGCATTGTGAATAATAATAATGAGGGTGAATTGATAAGAGTGGCTGCTGCTATTGCGTTCAAGAACAGTGTGAAGCGAAACTGGAGAATTGTAAGTCAATTGGAAGTACAGCTTGAGGACTTGAAACTATTTTTTTTTAATGTTCTGTGTATTTCAAAAACTGAAGGATTCTCTTTCATTAAACTGCTATTTGAGTAACATAATACAGCTTGTAACAAGATTAGGGACTGATGTACATGACTAAACAATTAATGCACTTATTGGTGTTAGAATGAATAAGAAATTCAAATACTGTGTGATACTTACAGTTTCTGAAATGAACTGTCATAGGTTTCAAGTGGTAACAAAACACTTTGTAGTTGCCATTTTGGGCATAAAGTGTGAATATTGATTTTTGTTTTGTTAGATTCCTGATGAACCAAACAAGATTAACGATGCTGACAGGGAAACAAGTATGATGCATTGTAGCAGTTCTGATATTACTGTGTTAATTGATTGAACCACTTCTATAATGCATGGGTTGATTTAGTTTTACTTGAATTGATTTAGCTTGCAAAGCAGTGTAGACCTGCTGAATAGGTCACTGTGGCTGTCTGCAATTAGCTATTACTTCTGAAAATTCTCACAAAGACAAGTTATTTCTCCATCCTGAAAGTTATAGAGTAGTCATTGGATACAAGGTTGTTATGAATAACTTTACCCTTTGCTTTTAGCACCCCTTAAATCATAGAGGCACCCTTCCCAAACTCATTTATGTATATTTAAATGCAGTTAAACGCAATGTAATGGAGTTAACAACAAAGAACATCAGCGTTCTCTAGTAGTCAGCAGTTTTTTTCATACGCGCATGCCTTGGAATTCTATGTGTTCTTTGTTTGAGGTGTTCTTGTATCTACTTTGAGCATAAACTTACAGCATTGTGAGGAGTGGCAGCTCATTGTTCAGGCAGTTTTCCCCACCCCTTCCCTCCCTCTTTCCAATGTTTATTCAGTGTGACGGGTGCCTGTTTTCCTTTCCTGTGTGGGGGGCTCGTGGCTGCATTGCCAGGATTTGCCAGCCATGGGAGAAGTCTCCATCTAGGAGCTGGTTGCCAATAGTGGAAGCTCCTGGATGTTTCAGGCACCCAACCTCCACTTAGCAATGCGGTTGTTAACAAAGTTATTTGTATGGAAACAGCATAAGATATTGATGATCTGTTTTACTGTGGTTTTCTAGTCAAGAGAGAAATTGTTGATTTGATGCTTAGAAGTCCTGAAAAGCTCCAGAAGCAGGTAGGGACTGGTTTGAAAGCATCATACTTGTCATTGGGAATCTTAAGCCCTGGAGGAATTGAAGACTTTTTTCAACTGGATGGTATGTTTATGAACTGAAATTTGGATTGGAAACTCCCAACATTGTGAGCCCCTCTCTTAACCTCAGAAAGGGTGGAGTGGATGAAAATATGCTACTATTGATAAAACTTAGAAATCAGGGATCAAAATGAATAAATTTTTATATAGTGCAAGTTGTATACTCATGTAGAAAATAAATTATTGGAGAGGTAGAGTTTTGTATTGTAAATCTAAGGGGTGATGTTTTCATCACTTTGGGGTAACCAGATATTTTTCTTTGTTTTATTCTAATGACAAAAGAATGGTATCTTTCTTTGATTTTGCACAATAAGCTTAGTGTTTGTGTTTTCTCTCTTTATTCTCAGCTCAGTGATGCAGTCAGTGTGATCGGCAGAGAGGATTTCCCACAAAAGTGGACAAATCTGTTACCAGTGAGTAATGACAGGGAGGAAATTCCTTGTTAAGGGAGTGCTTTTGAAGAACAGAATCACTTTCATTGATACATTCTGTATTCAAAACTGAGTCACACAGCTGTTGCAGTGTCACAAACCCTATATGTATATTGTGAAGTAACTTATGTTGGAACTTTTTCTCCAGGAATTAATGCTAGACCATCACATATCACCAACTCCCCTTGCCTCCTCTCCTTAGCATTTTTTAAGTTGAGTGTCCTGTTCATGCACACAGTACACTGACCCTAATGTAAGCTTTAAACTGGAGCTTTTGCCAACAGACTTTGACTATTAGTGGTATAATGCTACAACAGAAAACTGTGCACATAATATAATGTCAACTTTAAGACTGGAACTGAACAGTAATAATAAAAGTTTTCTATGTCACAAATAGATACTTACTTTGGTTATTTTATGGATGGTATGAATTTCTTAATTTGATTAATTTGCAGGAGCTTGTGGCCAAATTCAAACAAGGCGATTTTCACCAAATCAATGGAGTTCTACAGACTGCTCATTCACTATTTAAAAGGTTTGATTCCTGTCCTTGTTAAAAAACCTCTTGAATTATCATGATCATGGACCTGCTAAAGTTTAGGGTAATTGAACTTTGTATATGACACACTTTTGGCAAAATGGCTTGATACCAAGTCAGCTAAGAAAGAAGAGACAGTTTCATGGAAGAGAATAACAGAGTATGAATGGTATTTTATGAAAATGTTTTCTCACCTAGATAACAGACTACAAAAACTAAGTTGGAAACATGTTACATCCTGCAATATGACTCCTGGATATAGATTACTGATTTATTCTCTAATTTTTAAAAATTGTGACTAGATATCGTCATGAATTCAAGTCCCAAGAACTATGGACTGAGATTAAGTTTGTGTTAGAAAGGTTTGCAGAGCCATTGACAAATCTCTTTGAGGTTAGTAGTGTTGTCTTGGTTCATTTTTGTGGCACCCATCATTATGGCAGTCGTTTCAACTCAAATGAACAATCTGAATGTGAGGAACAAGCCATGAATCTCATCTCAATAATTTGCCATCTTTTCCTGCTTTGGTTATAACAATTAATTTGCACCATTGAATTTAGCTGAATTTGTTGTTCCTTTCATATATGTGATTGGTTGACTTTCTTTAAGTATCCATGGCAGTAGCAATGGTACTGTAAGACAAATATGATTGGGCAAAGACAAGTGCCACTTATATTTTCCACATGAACAAAAATGAAGAGGGCTGGTAAAAGTAGCAAATGTATACAAACCTTTCAATCAAATTTCATTTTCACATTTGTACATGTAAGATTAAGGTGTATTCTTGTTACTGCTCTCTCTAGGCAATCTGTAAGTTTGTTGTGTGAATCTTTCATATAATTCAGTATGTGGTGTACATGTAAGAACTGAGATCATGTGCAATACATGAAGAGATACTTTCTTCAGATGAATTCTCTTTATCTCTCTCTTCTTAAGGCATTTAACATACATACGAGCACTTTATGTTGTAGGCCATAATGGAAGAAGCAAACAGATGTGGAGGTGACCCAGCTAAACTAAAGGATATTCTCAGCTCTATCTTGCTTATTTGCAAAGTGTTCTACAGCTTAAATTTCCAGGTGATCAATAATGTGTTCAAACTGACTCACCTCTGTTGAAGTTTGATGTTAAGAACTTGAAAATGTTCTGTAAACCTTGAAATTTTTAAAAATGGGAAGTACGCCTGTGAGCATTCAAGCTTTTAAAATGCGAAAAAAGTGAGAGTCACTGTCACAGTTAAATTTTCTGGTTGCCTTCACTTTGAAATGTGTGATGTTCTATGGGAAGTTATATTCTGATTACAAAGAACTATTGTTTAGTGCTAGGGGTAATAACAGAGAACATAGGACTTAAAAAATCCCAAAATATAACTTATCAAGAAGCATCAAAAACTTTTGTATTTGTTTGTTTTTTTTTTTAAGATTGTTTTTTGTTTCCAAATTATTTTGAAAAATATCCTTTGATATTTGTATTTGATTAAGGCATCTTCACTAGCTCTTGTAATGGATGTGTACTTTAAATCCTTAATTCTTCCTATACAATAATGAAAGTGCAAATTTATTTACCAGTACCTTCAAAGCTCACTCTAGAAGTATTTTCAACTGATTGTGGAAATAAATGTTGCAGGACTTGCCTGAACACTTTGAGGAAAACATGGAAAAGTGGATGAAAAACTTTCTCATTCTTCTAACAACAGACAGCAAACAGCTGCAAGTTGAGGTTAATGTCAATTTTTTTTGTTGTAAGACAACAGTGCAGTGGAAGGTTTCTCCTGGGACACCTCCACTCAAGGGATACAAACTGTTGAAATATGAAAACACCAAAAAAGAAAAAAAATGCACTGGCATGACCTTTCTATCTGTAGCCCTTCATTGAGAGGAAAAGGTTCTTTGGTCACTTTCATTTACCTAATAACATGTGAAAAGATGAAGGAGTTTTGCATGTGCAGCATGCATTTTTTATTCACTTCCTTTTGAGAACTCCAACCTTTTGAACCTCTCACTTTGCATTTACCTGTTGCAAGAATGAAAACAGCTGAAAATAATAGAATAGCATAGCAACTTAGAGAATCTATAAACAAACTTGGATTGCCAATGTTAAATAGAGTTATAGTGAACTGGAATTCTGTAAGCAAAATAGCAGCTTGTCCTTTCAGGTTTATTTCAAATTGTTTAAATTTCAAGTGTTATTTATATTGCTTGGAAGTCATTTCACTCTGTAATTCTGCCTCTGAAAGGCTTTTGCTCCCCAATTTGAAGTGTTGAGGTCATAGGAAAATTACAAAAACAGACAGAATCAACTGACTATCAGTTCAAATTATTATGATTTATCAAATGTAGTGGGGATTCTTTTGTTTGACTTTGTAGGAAACGGAAGAAGCTGGTCCATTAGATCTAATTAAGTCACAAATCTGTGACAATGTAGCCTTGTATGCTCAAAAATATGATGAAGATTTTGAGGTAGAGGAATTCACTTATTGATGATAAATTTTTAGTAGTTATTGTAAGCATTGCTAAGATTGCTTGGTGTGTCTTGTTAAAAACTTTTTTTTCCTAGTGAATAAATCTGATATTATCTCGACAGCTATACCTACAAGGAGACAGATATGCAGACAGATTGATTGGCTCAATGCTTTCTCCTAAACCTTCTGAAAAAATAATTAGATCCTGTACTAGTAAAATCCTTTGTTGCAGCAATTTCTTTAAATAAAAAGCATACTTAAGAATTCTGAATTCAAATATTACAAATCATATATTTTAAAGTAGCAAGCCTATAAATTTATAGTTATATTCCCTTCTTCAACTTTCATTGATTTTTTTGTAGAACTACTTGCCAAAGTTTGTGGAAGCTATTTGGAACCTGCTTGTGAACACAGAGAAAATAGCAAAACATGATATTGTAAGTATGATTGTCATCAATGAAACTTCAGCAGGCTCTACTTGGAGACTGAGTTAATCCTTTACATCCTAACATCAGTATACATTTCTCTATACTGTTCTCTAAACATTTCCTATGGTACTGACAAAAAGAATTTGATGAACAATCCAGAGCTTTAGTTGGTGATCATTTCCTATATTCTCAGGACCTTAATGTTTGTTTTAGGGGTGATACTGAAAGGATAAAATAGTTACTAATCACTCTTAGGGGTTAAAGGGTTCAGTTAATTGACATTTGTCAAATCCACCAAAAAAAAAGTGCATATTTGATAAGTGTGAGTTTTACTTACACCACTCGGATAAACAAAGAAAAGAGTGTACAAGTGGTATACTGTGCTAGTTGACTTTATTTTCTCAAACTTGAAGGGTTTGAGGTGTGACAGGATTTAGAGAGGTGAGTTAGGATGCCAAAGTAACTTTTTAATGGAAGGACATTTGACAACTGGGTACTTTTTGGTTTACAGGTTATTAGCAATGCTATTGGATTCTTGGCATCAGCAGCAGAGAGAAATCAGTATAAATATCTCTTTGAAAAACAAGAAACCTTGGAAAGTATATGTGCAAATGTTGTTTTACCAAATGTGGAATTTAGAGGTAAATTTTTACTGTATTCTGTATTGTTTAATATTATTCATCATTATTTTTGCCTTATTATGTTCAACTTGATGGTTTTGTGGTGTAGAAATTTTAAAGAGTAGTGATATTTCTGTTTCAGTTTCTTTCTGGTGGAATGTTCAGTATTGGCAAGGTTATTAACTGGTCTTTTAATTTTTATCAGAGGAAGATGAAGAAGTGTTTGAAGACAATCCTGAGGAGTACATCAGAAGAGATATTGAGGGCTCAGGTTTCAAATGAATTTCATATTTTATTCAAGTGATCCATATTCTATCATAATAGTAATCATAACTTAATTTGCCCCTCAGTATTTGTTTAATGAACTTGCTGAAAAAAAAAAGGAAAAGAAACTGATCTATTTGTCTACACTTCTAGCAGATCTTAGTGAGCAGGGGACACCATGAATAAGTGAACTAGTACTGAAGTGGATAAGACATGAATCATTATAAAATAATTCTAATAGTAAGAACTAGTACTGAAGTGGATGGGACATGAATCATTGAAAAATCCCAATGTCTGAGGAAAAAACCAAGTTGACTAGGAAGTTAAGAAATGATTTGAAACTTGGAGCTTCAGATTTCATATCCAGAGAACCAAAACAGTAGCAGTAACTGCAAATATTCTTTCAACAATAAAGTTATTGATTTTTTTTAGATGTGGACACCAGACGTCGTGCAGCCTCCGATCTTGTGCGTGGATTGTGCAAATTCCATGAGCAGCGTGTTATAGAAATATTTTCTGGCCATGTTGTGTCTATGTTACAGGTAACCAAAATTATGCTTTGATTCCTGAAAACTACAGAAGAACTAGAGACTGAAAGGAAAATGGGCAAAGTTTGTCTTTCTCATTCTTGCTCTCATCATTCTAGTCTTTTTGTTTTCTTATATTTGTCAATCTTATCAACTCAATATAGTGAATACACAGTATGTGTCACAAAATCACTATCAAATATGCATACCATGAGGGTTACAAATCATTGATGCCTTTAAATGTTTCTTGGTTCATACTTTTGCTGTGAATGTCACTTGTTTGAAGCTCTTGCAAGTTACTGATCAGTCTTAATAAGACGTATATGGTTAAGGCTCATGTGATGATTAACTTTCTCCTTGGTATATGGCAGCTTTATCAAGCAGAGAGTGGCAACAACTGGAAAGCCAAAGATGCTGCAATCTTCCTTGTTACATCACTTGCAAGCAAGAAACAGACTGCTAAGGTAATAATTATGTATACTACTAGGGTTTTCATCAGGCATTCTATATTGAAGTATGCTGTATTCTTTGGGTAAATTTTGCTGGATGTTTATTTGGTTTGGGTACAATGTATACCATTACAAGTTTTAAATTAAAGTTTGTTGCTTGCCTCTTATAATTTGCAGTGTATTTGTGTAGTTTTGCCTTCACTGTTTAACTCTTTCTTCCTTTCAGCATGGGACAACACAAGCAAGTGAACTTGTGAATTTGCAGAGCTTTTTCACTGAACATATTTTGCCAGAGCTACAGATCAAAAATGGTAAGTGAACCATTATGATTGTTTCTCTAGATCACCAAATCAAGTTCGTAAATGGAAAAAAAACTTGCCTTCTTTTTGCTAAAATTAGACTGAGGCTGCCAACAGAAGTTAGTGTTGTGGAGCTTTGTGAGCTTAACTTCCATAACAGTAAATGGTTTGAACCCGGGGGTAACATGTAATAGTGTAGTTTGATCGTCCAGGTGAGTGTAGTCCTGAGAAGGACTTTTGTCAGTAGTGGTGACTGATGTTTCGATAACCTGAGTGGAAGTCATCATCAGAGTCAAGTCAAGTTGACTCTGATATTGTGGAGCTTTGCGAGATTAACTTCCATTGCTTGCACTTACACCTGAGTATGCATGGCAAAAACCTTTTTTTATGTAGCGTCAACTGCAGCTATCAGATTAAATTTAAATCTGTTTTATATACAATTGAGTTACAGGTATGATATTCCTGAAAATTATTTTCATTTTGTCCTGACTTTTTATTCTCTTTCTCTCTCTTTTCCAGTTGATGATCATCCAGTGCTGAAGGCTGACTCCATCAAATATATTATTATCTTCAGAAATATGGTAAGTCGTTTGAAGATAAGCTACAGAATGTCTTTCTCTCTTCTTTCTGGAGGAAAGTCTTATAGTTTATACTAGGGTTTTTGTACCAGGAACAATAAAAACTATGATATGAGTAATTTTAAATATATCAATAAACTGTGATGCACTGCCAAACTCTTACAACCAACATTAGTACAAATGTATCCCAGTGAGTAATAGGAAATCAAACAGAAAAGAACCAACAGGTCCTACTGTTCAATACTGTATCTAATGAAAGAACTTTACATCTGTCAATTCTGTCTGCATTTATTCTTTCAGCTTTCCCTTGAACTAATTGTGGGATGCCTGCCATTCCTTGTGAAGCACCTAAAGGCTAAGAGCCATGTTGTACATAGTTATGCTGCACACTGCCTGGAGAAGATCTTTACACTCAAGAATCCTCAAGGAAAAGCTTTGTATGTGTCATAGTTTTTGATGTACTTGTATGGGGGTATGCCACCATCTGTGTCATATGAAGTCCTTCTAAATCTTCATCTGAAACCATCCACTTTCTATTTTTGTTCATCACCACCTTTTTGGTGTTTGCTTTCAGTGGGAAACTATTTGTTCTAACTTAAGGTTTCCTTGTATTTATGGGAAATTTCTCCAATTGAATGTTCTTTATGTTGAAAGGGCTCCCATTCTCATGGGTAGCACTGTATAGGAAAACTGTCATCAATCTTGTTTTACAAATATTTAGGAGACATTTGGTAATGTAATCTTATTTCTTCCTTTTTTTCCTCCCAATGATGCAATTTTTATCTAATGAAATCAAGAGTTAATGAACACACTGAGAATTGGATCCAAAATTGTTCTTTCAATTTTTTTTATGTTCTTTGAGTTTAATTCTGACCCTAAGATTTTGTTACCAATATAGAGTTGCTTTTTTTTACCATATTTAGCTGCTATCATCTTAAGTGTCTTCAGAGCTAAAGAAAATATTGAGCATGTTGGTGATATATTTTTTTTCCTGTGTAGAATTGGTAAGGTTGATGTGCAGCCACACTTAGAGGAGATGTTATCAAATCTCTTTCATTTGTTGAAAGTCCAAGGCTCACAGGAGAATGAATATGTTATGAAAGGTACTCTATTTCTTTTGTAGAACATTAGTAAATCTGCCATATAAACTTAGGCATAGTTCTACAAATCAATTATTTGTGGTTGGACTTCTCTGTCCTGTCTTCAAATGGATTATGACAGCTCTGAGAACTGAGAGCACTGGTTCTGTTCAAATGGATACTTTCCTGTGAGCAGGGTGACCCTTCTCTCAGGTTTCTTTTTCCTGAGCTTATTACTCACAAACTGCAATTGGCAGGACAAATGACAGCACAACTTAACTTTCTGCACTCTCAATGAGAGCCACATTACTTGTGGTTTGCACCAGCAAGGACCTACTTTGTTAAGTTTAGTTTCAGATGGAAAACACCTTAATTTCTCTTTCCCGTCACAGGATTAGCTGTTGAAGAAAACAATCAGAATCCTACTAGCACTTACTAATAAATCAAACTGCCTGAGATTGTTGCTTTAGAGAAGATTATCAATCTGTTTTTTACATGCAGCAATCCCTCATTGGCTGAGGAGACACATAGTTTCCTATTATAGGACTAAAATGTGCAGCCAAAATGTGCTGGTTCAATGGACAACTTAAGATGGATACCCAAATAAATAGCATCTGTAAAACTGCATTTTTTCACCTATGTAACATCAGAAGTATAAGAAAATTTCTTAACTTTGAATGTACAAAGATTCTAGTGAATGCTTTTGTAACTGGTCGTTTGGACTCTGCCTAACAACCAACTACATAAACTACAGAGAATCCAAAATGCGGCCGCTTGGCTAATCTGTAATGTATGTTGTTTCGAGCACATCACCCCATCACTGTACAGGCTCCATTGGCTACCCATTAACTATAGAATCTAGTTTAAAATTCTTCTTTTTGTATATAAAGCCCTCAGTGGTATCACTCCTCCTTATATATCTGAACTTGTAGAGCTGAAACCAGCCTCAACTCTGATGATATGCTTTTACTGAGCAATCCTTCTTTTAAGAGTTGTATCACATTAGGTGACCTCTCATTTATATATGCAGGGCCTAAACTGTGGAATGAGCTACTGAGAGACATATGTTATGCCAACACTGTACATATTTTTAAGTGTCTTCTCAAAACTCACCTGTTTAGGAAAGCCTATCTGCTTTAAATACCATTGGTCTAACAATATTATGATAGTTAAGATTTTAATGATTATAAAGATTGTAATGATTATATATACCATAGTTTTAATAATATCACATTTGTAGAGATTTTAATGATTATAAAAATTGTTAAGATTGTAAATACTATACTTTCAATAATCAGGATTGTAAAGATTGTAATGATTGTAAAGACTGTGCTGTAAGATTATTATACTGTAATGGATGTGTGAGCATCTGCATATGTAACATGCACAATATAAGTAAATAAATTATTATTATTATTATTATCATTATTATTATTATTATTATTAAAATTGTATAGAAACAGTTACATTATATATATATATTTTTTGGTTATTTTGCAGCAATTATGAGGTCATTTTCCCTACTCCAGGAAGCCATCTTACCTTATTGTGCTGTGTTAATTGCTGATTTGGCATCTAAACTGGCTCTGGTTAGCAAGGTGAGGACTTTAATACCAAGAATGATCAGGGTTTAATTTCTCCTTTATTGTGAGCATTAACCCTTGAACTCCCATGAGTGACCAACAGAGATTTCTTACAATATTGATACAACATCAGGAGACAAGTAATGAAATAGACCAAAATTTCCATAAGGGGATTATATGTTGATCCAATACCAAATTCTCCAAAGGAACTTTAAAAGAATTGCATGGCAGACAGTAGTGAGAATTTCTCATGAGATCCTGGAAGTGAAAGGGTTAGGATTATTATGCTGATAGGAAAAGGTTATGAAACTTGATAGCCATCTTAATCTTGTGATGTGTGATACATGATTAAAACGTTTTTCTAGATTAAGAGAAGTCAAACATAGCACCTTTATCTAGGCTACCTTAAATGATTACAGAGAATAAAAAACTTCATTTATATTTTTTTTATTGTTGAAAATTTTTTCTGTGGTTATTTAAGGATGGATTTGATTTTCTCTCCTTTTTACAGAATCCTAGCAAACCACAATTTAATCACTATCTTTTTGAAGCCATTTGCTGTGCTATCAGGTGTGTTAAAACAGCTTTGGTTTTGTCATGTTTTTTTTATCACTAGAGGAGCAAAGTCACAGGGATAGTTGTGCACTGAAAAGGGAGAATAAATGATGGTACCAATCCGATATGTCAATGCAACTGACATGTTTGGGAAGTTCCTTGTCAATAATGATAGTTGATAAATTACATAAATCAATCCTATAATGAACTGACTGTGTAAGGAGTACAGCAGATTCAAAGTGCTTAGTTTCAAAGAAATTATACATGTGTGTTATTGTGTGTTTAATTGACATTTGAGGCAAAACAACAGTACACTGAACTATAGTATGCTTCAAGTTTTGAGTAGCAATAATAAGATATGGCACATATATTGCTGAATTTAAATTCATTATTTAAAAGGTCATACTGATTAGTTCCTTATACTTTTATATTAGAGTTATATGCAAAGCAGATCCTTCAGCAGTGGCAGGATTTGAGAAGATGTTGTTTCCTGTGATTCAAGAAATTCTCACAAATGATGTCACAGGTACTAAGTGAATCTAACAGGTGTAACAGTTAAATTAAATTGTAGCCAAATGGGGGGAAAAACATCAAAGAGTTCTTCAGCTCTGGAATTTATGTGAAGCATTTTTATTTTTTAAGTTTTGTATACATTCAAACTCTGTTCATCCTTGTGTGGTGAAGGTCACTTCCTTTGGACTTTATTTTGGATTTCCCAGCAGATTTGGTTTAAGTAAATGCGGGGTTAATGTTTGGCAAGAATTGATGTCTGTGTTTATGAGAAATGTCTTCATAGATACAGGGTTTGCATGAATCATGAAAAACTTATAAGGCATGGAACTAAATGAATACATTTCCTAGGCCTGGAAATATATGAAAAGTAGGCATTGGTGATGAACCTTTTTTTTAGAACAACAAGGCTAAAAAAGCCTTAAATGAATTTTGGATCACTTTGAGGCACTTGATTGGGGATCATGAAAAAATATTCTGTACATGGGAACAGCTTTGAGTTAAATCGTCTTTTACTAGTATATGTGCCCATGAAATATCCTCAAATGAGCAATTATCAATTAGCCTATTTAGGTGTATGAGGCTGCATTTTAATCCAGGTTGGCTGTCATGATGCATTTCATTTTTGTATTGCCGTTTTGTTTTTCACAGAGTTTCTCCCATATGTGTTCCAAGTGTTGTCATTGTTGCTGGAAATTCGACATGAAATTCCAGAGCCTTACATGGAGCTCTTTCCTCTTCTTCTCTCTACAGTTCTCTGGGAAAGAAATGGTACAAGATTGAAATAGATTTTTTAGAAATATTGTAGATGATTAACTTTCCTTTACTCATAATAAGTGTTTTTGCCTCTTAAAACATCTGACAATAGTTTAGGAGGGTAGGTGCTATGAAGGGTAGTGACAGAGGAGGGTAGCAATTTCCTCAGCATAAAGGAGGTCACCATAGCAATAAAGCCACAGCCCACTTCCAGCCACCTTTCAAAACAACACCAACAAACCAAGTGGGGAGAGGAGGGGAGAGGAAACAAGTTGAGCAAAGCACTTGGCAGTACCCCTGCAAACCTTTTTGGGGCTCCCCACATCCCATGGGTGACCTTAGCTTTAAGCTGTCCTTAATGACTGTTATTCTTCATTAGATGATATTCTGAATTGTAAACATACATTTAATTACCACAAGCAAAAGAAAATTTGTGAACCACAAGACCCTGAAGCTTTTTTATAACAAGTCATTTTAGTTATTAGCAGAACTATCCTTTTAGCAAGTTTTTCTTGAAATATTTTTTTAATTCATATACACTGGATGCATTGTTAGATCAAAGGATAGCAGAAAGTCTTATACTGACACAAAATCAAAGTGATGTCAGTTTTGTCAATTAGATTGTGATCAATTTGTCTCGTACTGATCCACCTGCTTATTCAGGAAACATACCACCACTGGTGCGTTTGCTTCAAGCCTATATCGAAAAGGGAAGCAAAACTATTGTGGAAACAAAGAAGGAGGTAATGCAGAAACTACTCATTTTTGGCGACAATAACATAAAAAGTTAAACAGAGTAATCTAACTTTACAGATAGATCAAACTTGTTATCACTCAAGTGATAAGCAGTAAATATAATTCCTTAACAGTTAGCAACCTGGAAAACCATGAAGGGCCAACCACTCATGTCATATCTGTTATTAGTATGGGTTATTGCATGGGGCTGAGTAAAATTAAAAATTAATATCATTCATGTTTTCAGAAGTTGTAGAAATTGCCCTTGGGCTTTGCACAACTTTGGCAATTTCTGCAACTTCTATAAACACAAGTGATTTTAATCCTTAGATTTATGACACAACAAGTGATTACTTGTTTATGATATAGAGTAGGTACAAAATGCACACTGTTATGCACTTTCATAGGAAACCATTTAAGCATTTTGTCAGTGTCAATAATCTGTAAAATGCGTGAATCAGCTGAATGAAATTTTATTTGTTTGCAGCAATGCCAAAGTAATAAAACCAGCCCCACTGAAAACACATTCACCGTCAATTAAATTATAATACATTTAGGAAAAATTAAGGAAAATGTCTGCTGTCTCAGGGGAGAACTGTTTCTCTAAGGGGAGAAACAGTTGATTCTAATAACTCAAAGTTAACTCAGTATAGATGTACTTGACCATGTGTGAATGATTCTTAAGGTTTGGCTCTTTCCTTCCTTTCGATGGTTAAGGTCTTGCTGGGAGAATGTTTAGCAAACAGCCAAGGATCTTGGGTTATTGTAGTGTGCATTTTTTTAAAAAAAGAGAAAAGACAGGATTGTAATGTAATGATAATGTTTTGTATTGTTGTAACAGATGGGCATGCTAGGTGTTTTTCAAAAGCTTATTGCCTCAAAGAGCAATGATCATGAAGGATTTTATCTGATAGGAAGTATGGTGGAACATTTTGAACCGTAAGTTTGTATGATTCTCTTTTAAATGTTTTCACTAGTGATTTGTAAAGTGTATGACTTAGTAAAGTTTTGTTGATTAATGAATGTGTTTTTTGTTATACAGGTCTTCCTTGGCGCCCCACATAAAGTCTGTTTTTCTCATCCTCTTTCAAAGGTTACAGAGTTCAAAAACAACCAAATTTGTCAAAGGTATTACCCGTCAAGAACACTTGTTTTCTTAGAAGTTAGCTTTAAATTGTTGGTGGAGAATTCTGGAATCTTGGATGCCTCTTCAAGGTCTTTTTCCCTCTAATTTTTCCTTGTTGAAATAAAATTTCTTATTAAATTATTCCCTATTGTAGGTTTGCTGGTATTTTTCTGTCTTTATGCTTCTAAAAGTGGTGGAGAAGCACTGATGAATACCATAGACTCCATTCAGGAAGGGTAAGGAGGACAAATTGCAATTATTTACTAGTTTACAAAGGAACCAAACCTGTACTGCAAGATGTAGACAGTACTTTGACAGAAGGAGGAGAGTGTAATCTGTCGTGTACCTGCTGTACCAATTCACAACTTTTGGAGCTAAAGATCAGATCTCTAGTTACCTCTTTGTGCTACTACTGTATGTAGTGTATAAACATGTTGTGGGCAGGTCACCTTTAAATCACTTGCAAGAGTTTAAAGAGGGGAGGAAAAAATTCACTATATTGTAATTGGCCAGTTACCCTTGTGTGCAAGTGCTAAGTACTTGCAAGTTTTACTGAACAGTCTTTCAACAAGGTTTTGTCCAAGCGGTGGCTCACAGAGCTTCTCACTTTTGAGTGCTAATTCAACTTGCACTGTATTGTTTGTTTTTGTACTATGAGTGTGTAAAGTTGAAAGTTGATTTTTGTATCAGTTGTATTATCAAATGTTATTAAAGCTTAATTGTTTCTTTTGCAGACTTTTTGGGAACTTTGTTGAGAGAGTACTAATTCCTGATGTGCGCAAGGTAAGCCAGTAGTTGTCTTGACCATAACACTCCCAGGATCTAAATAACAATTCTCTTTAGTGGTTGTCATACATGTCTAATCATTTTAGCTCTTAGAATTTGGTGTGACATAGAACAATCTCCCTAAGTGATATCTGTCTTTCTTGTAATCACCTTAAAGTTTATTCTTGAGAAATCACTGATATTGTTGAGGTCTTGTTAGGAATTGAAAAGGATAACCCTCCCAAGTTCTAAAAGTTCGTTTTGCTTACAGATTTTTGTATCCTTCTTTGAATAAGTTATACATTCAAACAATATCCCCAAGTGGGTAATTTTCCATTTCACCATTATTGGCATACTTGACTGCTTATTAAGAAGTGCATGGGGAATTTGCATACAGGGTACTCATTAAAAGAAATAAAATGATAAATAAAATCCTCAAGAGTTAGAATACCCAAATGAGGACAAATTTCCAGAATTTTTGTTTTCTTTTAAACAATTCTCTTTCTTCTAATTTCTTGATGAAATTAGTATATGTCTAATATGAAGATTGTGGGCTGACTCTTGTAGGTATCAGGGAGTACAGAAAAGCGGATCTGTGCTGTTGGAATAACCAAGCTTCTTACAGATTGTCCTAAATTTCTAGAAACTCACAGTCATGTTTGGTGAGGCCTCTTTGTTTTCCTAACTTGGATTAGGGTTTTTAATCCCAAGAAAATATCCACATCATCCTTTTTGGTTTGAACTCCTTGCTAGGGCTGTTAACACGAATTAACAATGGCCAAACTTTGCCTGTTGCTTTGAGGTTTTTTTTTTTTTTTTTTTTTTTTTTGGCCCTTCAGCCATCAATGTGAGATACAGTTTAGTAGACAACACATTAACTTGAAATTTTAGTATCAGCTTTGTCTCCTCTTCAGTTACATATGTGTACCTCCAAATTAAAATACAATTTGCTCAACCCCTCAGGAAATTAGCATTTCTCTTCAGACTTGCTGAAATAATAGGGGGAAAAAACCCTGTCCTCTGAAGAACTTCTAATGAATCCTTATGTTGAGTGCAGAATCTGCACTGGAGACATTTTCATAGTACACATACTCAAAGTAATTTTGTTATTTATTGCAATCACTTTTCTTTTTATAGGACCCCTTTGTTACAAGTTTTGATTGAATTCTTTGAATTACCTGAAGATGATTCGATCCCTGATGATGAGCACTTTATAGAAATTGAAGACACACCAGGTATTTTTATTGCTAATGAAAATAACTTTGAACATCCCAGGGCATTGACTTACTGTAATTTGGGTCTTGAGAAACCTGGATTTTCACAGAATTGCAGATTCTCATTTTCAAGGACTCAGAGAGGTCACCAAACATTGTGAAATTCTGAAATATAAATTTTCCTTTGGTAATTTTCAAGCCCAATTAATGGCTTATGTTGTATGCACATGCTCTTTTTTGTCAGTTTTAACAGCCAAGCAAAAAAATAATTCCCCTGCCAGTTATTCTAGGGTAGTTGTGGATTAGACTTACAAACCCTTATGGTGAACTAAGTTTCAGAAGATAGCAAATCAAATATCAAATGTTGTTTGATTTTTCACAGGTTATCAGACAGCTTACTCCCAGCTGGCATTTGCAGGAAAGAAGGAAAGAGATCCATTTTCTGGTATGATTCCTGATGCCAAAGTTTTCCTTGCACAGTCACTACAGAAACTGTCATCTACACACCCTGGAAAGGTATGGTGGACATAATGCAAACATGATTACAATCATAACATGATTAAAAAAACCCCTCTTGATAAGAATGCTACTCACGCTGCATGGTGAGGGTGTGGAACTCAGGACCTTGATTCTTGAACTGGTGGAACACTCAGTTCAACATGTGGTTATGAATGTACTTATTTACTTATTTTTTCAAATTTTGTCAATTCTTATAGATAAACACCAAGATCACATCTGAGCTTCATGCAGATGCTCAAGGATTCTTGCAGAAATACCTTCAAGAAGCTGGTGTCAGCCTGGGATGAACAAGATCTCCTGTTAGTCTACCTTTAATTTAAAGCCAAAAAGGAAAACACTACCGTCTAGCAAAGGTTTAATTTAGAATATGATTGTAGGATGGCAAGAAACTGACTGAGAACTTCATATGTAACTGTATACAGTTGGTTGTTGAGCTTATTAGGTGAAATTCAAATGGTTGGTGTAAAGCTGAAGATCTGGGAAATATTATGTGAACCAATATTTTCAAGCTTATAGGGGGCAAAGGGGTAATTGGGCCTGAAAAGGAACAAGTACAAATAACCCAAACAACTTTTGCCTAAAATCACAAAAAAAAAATCTCTAAAAAAACATAGAACTATCAAATGATGTCAAGAAAGACCTAAATCCCCTGAGTATAGCTTCTTAGTCATCTAATTAACTGTAATATATATAGAGACAAATTGGTAAAATACCACACACTGACTGTCCAAGAAAGAAAAAATTGATTTACATGATATCAATCTGTTAAAAGTTCTGTTTTTCTTATAGATTGTTTAGATATGGATATGTTAAGAAGTGACTAAATTTTGGGACAGAAAGATTGAAGTTACTTTGTACTACAGGCAGGCAGGCTTGTTATATCAGAAACCATGATTGGTTTAGTTACAGATAACCCCATGGTGACTGGTTTTTCAATCATTCCTGGGTTCCATTTCAGTTCAGAGGGATTAAGTGTGAATACACAGCTGATGTGCCATATGTGTAGCTAAGTCTCTGTCTTATGATGGAAGTTAGAGGCACATATATTTGTATGATTTGCTGTTATCATTAAACATGTAATGTACAGCTAACATAGATATTTGCGATAATAAAAAGCAGTTATAACATTGTTAGTGTTATCAAAATTCACAATATGTAATCTGTATGCTATTTTGCATGCAGTGACATTCATGTCAACTGAGAATTTTCAGTACCTGGGTGGAGGATATACTTTTACAACTCAAACATTATCATTAGACTATAGGGAATAACCAGTTAAGCTGATTCACAAACCAGTTTTTGCTGTTGATTTAATGAAACCTGGTTTTTCTTTCTCTTGGAGACATCACAAACTTTTTAAGCCTTGTTGGATCTATAATTCATCTTTCTCAGGTGCACACATAATACTAACAGTGCACTATGTCTGTTTCTTGGTATTGTGGGTGAAATAGTGGGTAGCTATTGCATCATGATGTGGATGTTGTCCAGTGATCCATGCATCATTTGCAAAACCAGACAGACACACTAAAATTTTGCAAAACAGCCTTGATACCTATGAAAAAACTAGCTTGTTACCCAGGGGCAAACTATCACACAGAGCGCTAATAAATGGGAACAGGATCTTCCCTTTTTCCTCTCTATTTCTAATATTTCTTACTTCCCATTTATTTTCGTGTCAGAGATTAATTCACATTTCTTTAATTCTTTGTTCAAAAGTCTTTTATGGAAATTTTTAACTATTCTTTTTAGAACATCCAATGATCAAATTGCAAGCAAAAAGATTTGAACTGAATTTTCTCTTAAGGCTTTCAGACCTGGAATCAAATTTCACATTGACCCTGGGTTACCTTTACCCAGCTTTGAAAAACCCAAACCAGGACTCTAGATTGAGGAGTCTGCACATGAGCCTTGTTTGGAGTCATTGTGTTGTTTCTTATAAGGATGATTTGTCCAAGGGCATCAATTGACTCCAAAAACTATCAGTGGGGGACATGTAAAAAGAACTATTGATATTCCCATTAACTTTGTCTGATTCCTTCTGATCAATGCCTACTACTGTTGTAACAGGCCATCAAAATTTAGCTGTAGAATTCTGTAATCTCTGATTTGTGACGTACACTCGACTATTTTCCACCTTTAGTGTGCATGTTTCACAATAACAGCCAGGTTCTCCTGTATCTAATTGCAGACTAAGATGAATTAATACGTGAAATTCTCTTGAAGCAAGGATTGTGATGCACAAACACAGCAGTACCTTGTGGACTCAAAATCTGCCCAGAACTTCCAAGCAAATCTTGACTGAATGCCATAAAACTAAGATGAGTGGTCACAATGACCAAAAAAAGGGATTGGGTTAGAGGGAAAAATACCCTTATACCCTTAAAGAATAATATAACCACATGGCAAAATAAGAACACGATGAATCTTTTTCCCATAAAATTTCTTTTGAACTACTTAAGATAATTTGAAATTCTACCAAGATCTGGTTGCTAAGTTTGTTTATTCTCACCACCTTTCCAAGATAGGATATTAAAAGTTTAGGAATAAGTTACATATCATGTCTACAAGTTTGTAGAGGTTGACAGACTATTGACAAGTAAACTTTATGAGTTGATGATCCTAGAAAAACTATTCCTATTATTTTTTTTTTTACAGCTTTTTATCCTCTAAATTGTGAAGGAACAGAATCAATAATTTAGTTCAAAACATCAACACATTATTTTACATATTTAACAACTAAGATAAGCACCAACTCGTTGGTTCAGTCACAATAACATTCAACTCAGTGTACAGTATTTGCTCAACATATTAGAGATCACACTTGTATTGTCTAAAAAATGTATGTTCTTTAGGTTGTCTGATTAAGACCCGGGATCAAGCCACTACTTCTTCAGTGAAAGCTTCTTAATGAAAGCAACAAATAGGAAGTTCAACACTTCTCTGGATATGAAAGAAAACGCAGTTACCAGATGTTAAATAGCAGATGCTATTCATCTCGTCGTCATTCAAAACTGTCTTTTGGTTGGCTTCATTGTCTTAAGATAGCTCGCATTACACACATAGGAAAATCGATAACAGCAACATTAATAAGCGTTTTGTGATTCCACTCGGTAGAGGTTACTAGAGTCACCACAATCCCATTGCTATGAGCAAAGATCTCAAAATTGATCATCATCGTATTCTGACAAAGATCACAGAGGAAGAAGCCATGCAAGGAAATCTTCCCTCCCTCAGCGTCTTCCTTAACATGTTTCAAAAACTAGAAGGAAACACCGTAATTTCATTCCTTTAAAATAATACACTCGTTTGAAACGTACTTTATGTTTAATCTGGTTCACAATCCATCTGCGATCGAAGTAAAGAATTCCAAACATCCGTGATAGAAAGATCTTCCTTCGAATGCGTTTTCTGATCACCTACCAACTACAACGAAGATGGTCAACAAAATAACGAACGTCATTACTGGGTCTCGGGACCAAGATATCCTTTTTACTTGGACCAGTGAAGACAAAAAGATCGCTACGAAGACTGCCTGACAACCAAACACTTTGATTTTGTACGTACAGCAGGCAATGAATGAGGTTAAACACAACAGGGTAGATTTATCATCTAGGTAGCACTTGCGCTTGTGATCACTTTGTGACATGCCGCTAGTCAAATGAACGAAATCTGTGAATAGTTGCTGCTACGTACTACATTCCGTGAGGAAAAGACAGTTTCCAATTCCACTGTAGCATATAAGAATCACCGCAGCGATGAAAACGACCGTACAAATTGTACAAGGGCGTCTTTCGAGGAAGAAACTCGCCAAGTACAGGGTCATGAACACCGAGTGATTGTGCAACAAAAACAAGTTCGCCGGGCGTGGAATGAGTAAAAGAGGCAATAGCCACTGTAAACAATACATGGTTCAATATCAGCATCCACAATGTCACTTTAGAAACTCTCCTCTAAGTTCATCGTACTCCAGATATCAATTGAAAGTGAAACGTGTAGGCAAGCATCAAGTCTCCACTTAGTACCCAGGTGACAACCGAGGGACGCTAGAGCCTCACCAAAATGACGTCATTTCTAAAAGTGTTGGTCCACAATGCGTGCAAACTCTTGTGTTCGGGCCTTTCTGGGGGTTGTTTGAGGAAATTTGGGACAAGTAGAGATATATTTTTTCGAATCGATTTTCATTTCATTGATTCAATATTATTTTCTTTCATTTAAATAAGATTTTGCGTCGCCTCTTTTAAGATTCCTTTTCAAACCAACATGCCTTAGTGAAAAACTGTTCTGCTGCCATCGAAGCTTGAGTAAAAATCGTCAAGAAACGCATTGCAATGAAAACCAACGTTTCCTATGCACAGTATGGCAAAATAAGATCTCTAGCAGTACTTAACTATTCCAATTACAGCGAATTACGAATCAGCTTTTCCCAACACTTCTTTGGTGCTCCGGCCACTCCCCTACGTGCTTTACAATATAAAAGAGGACAGTTGAGTCTTCTTCATTTCCTAAGTAATAGGTCTCAACATGCTGGACGTGACACCATCCCGTGGTACAGGCGCCAATTTTATTCTTTAGTGTTTTTAGGCGAGCAGATGAAAGCGCCAAGGGCAGAACACCAGAAAGTGGAGTTATTTTTTTCCTCGCTCCTTCTCTTACGCAGGTCTCGCCCCTTACGCTTTCTTCCCACTCATCTCGTGCTTAACTTTGTTCGCATAAAAACAAAAAATAGCGCCTGTTCCAACAGGCTAACATACCACAATTCGCCGCCATAGACAAGGCAACTGAGTTAATGGATTTGTCTTAAACTGGCCATTGGTTAGGGCGGCACATCGCTCTTTCCAAGGTTGACTGAGAACATCAAACAACCTTTCAAATAAGAAAGATGGTAAATTTTGAGTCCCAAAAAGTGATAAAGAATAATGTAAATTTTTCTTGTCTGTTTACACAAATTACGTTTTCAACATTGCTTATCGTAGCTGTATGCAGAATGCGTGTCAGGGAGCCTCTTTGATTTAGTGATAGAGGTTTGAAGCCTGGAATCAGAAGGTCTGACGTTTGATTCCTCATGGAGACTGATAGTTTTTTTCTTTTTGATATGCTCGAGATCAGATGAATAAATGTCTTCCTCCACAACATCTCATATATATTTCACTTTTTTAATTTTTTACCGCAATTTCAAAATGGGGCCTTAAACATTTCTTTACTTAGATATAATGCTTTTAATGATACCGGTCTTTTCAACTTAGCTTTTTTTGACTTTCAGAGTAATTTCCTGGTCACAAAGAAGTTCCTAAAAAACTCACTTGCTATGAATTTTTTCTTTCTTCTTGTTACATCTCAACCGTCACTTACAATGTCTTTCATTTAGCTTGATTGTTGATTAGCTGGCTGAGCGTGCAGCAGAAACTCGCACCAAATCTATGACGTACAGCTGATTATTGGCCCTTGTTGTTAATCCATATTCATTAGAAATTGCAGAATTTTCAGCAAACCACGCCGTCCGTCGAAGAGTGAAGACGTACCTTCTGCTGTGTTTAACATTTAACATTGCGCTCTGGAAAGAAGGAGACGCTAGATTTATAAAGAAGAGCAACGAAAGCACTCTTATGTCACCACAACAGCGGGTGAGCGTTGCCTTTGAAAATTATTATCTTAAGCTCTTTGAGAGATCTGAGCGAGTCGTATTATCTCAAGTCAACGGCGTAGCACGAGTCAGTTGGTCTGTCTGAGTAGCTCTTAACCTCGAAATTAAACTGAATTAGTGTGTTGGCTTCCAGGAAACCAAAACCTATGATTGCAAAATATATCTGGTGAAACGCTCAGATAAAAATGTTTTGCGTGCTAAATCTGTTAAGGACATCATTTCGTATTTGAATGCAACCACGTGGAGGTGTGACTTGTGACTCTGGCTACTTCTCAGTGTGGCCTTTACTTGACTGTAGATTACATTTTAAAAAGTCTGGTTGCATTGCCCTTTTCTATAACTGTTTCAAAGAGCAAGACAATTATACAGAATTTTAATTTTAAGTTTTCCTCTCTATGGAAAGTAAGCATTCCCTGATCACATTTTTATTTTCTACTTTCAGGGATAAGAATTTTGTCAGAGGAATGGAATAACAAAGATTCTGGT